AACTATCGAAGTCATTACATTAAAATTCATGAATCAATGAGAATAACAAAATTGAAATTTATTCCAAAATTACGTGTATCTCAAGCACTCTACTGAATGTGGAAACCAGAAATAACCTAATTGAAGAAACTAATACCTGGAACTATAAATTCAAAACATTATAAATTTCTAAACTAGATATCAACTTTTTCCCAGATTGTTTCCAAAAGATACCAAGTACTAATCGGCATTTGAACCTTCTGGCGGGGTTGATATAGCTTCTAAGGTAACAGATAACGAACACGAACATTCTGATTAATCTTCCGGGGTAATGCACAAAGTTGGTGAGGATATGGAAGATGAAGCTTAGGTGGAGTAGTAAAGAGGTTCAATGTAGAAGCCCATATACCAGTCGAAAAGGGATTAGTCTGAGAGAACATCACTCGATCTTCGAAATTTGGAGGCAACGTTGCCAAATTCTTGACAATAAATGGATGACTCAATAGCATGTCGGCCGTCCATCTCTGTTCGTGTTTCTTGGCCAAGCATTTGTTCAAGAAATCTTTCGCGGTGTCGGAAATATTTTCGGGTATTGGATTACCAAATCCAATCTGCTGAAACAATTCTGAATCACTCCGAGCAGTCGACCAAATGCGTTTCCCTGTGATCATCTCCACTATGATGCAACCAAGAGACCATATATCGGTAACTGGCTTGTGAATTCCCAAAGCTATCGATTCTGGAGACGAATAGAGCAGTGCCCCTCTGTTGTGAGTCGATCGCCCAGGATTCAAGATTTTCACCTCCTCTTCAATTTTCTTGGCCTGTCCAAAATCTGCTATCTTGAGATTGTGTAAAGAAGAACCATCTTGGCTAGGAAAGACAAGAATATTGGCGGGTTTGATGTCACAATGAACAAACCCTTTCTCGTGGACGTGAGAGAGACCCTTAAGCAGCATATAACTGTAACACGCAACGACAGATTCTGGCATATATCCTCCAGTTTTGATGATCAGATCAGTGAGGCATCCACCTGATGCATACTCGAGGAGAAGATTATAGACCTCTCTATTGTTTTCAAAACTTATATCTTCCCCAAAACACTGGACGATTTCACGACAACCTCTCAATTCGAACAGAATTTCTCCCTCCTTCTTCACCCAGTTTGAATACGGAAAGACGGCGGACTTCACGGCGGCAGTAGAAACTAAAAGAGGAGGATCGACCTTTGCTGCTAAATGTACTGTTCCGTAGCTACCTGCACCAAGAACTCGATATTTACTCCAGAAACCCATTAATTTTCTTTTCCCGGACCAGAAGTTGAAACAAAGTATATAGGAAAAAATAAATGAAAGTTTGGGTTTTATAGTTAATTTCCTCTGACTCTCCTACATAAGAAATGACTCCCGCTAGAACTAGGATATAGGGAATAATCTGATTGAAATTGTAGTTAGAACTAGCCGTTATTTTCAGATTGTTTCCTTAAAAAAAAAAAAAAAAAAAAAATTTTAGTAGTTAGAACTAGCCGTTATTTTCAGATTGTTTCCTTAAAAAAAAAAAAATAATAATAAAAAATTCAGATTGTTTCCTTAATATTATTTCTGATAAGTATTTGAAAACATTCCTTTTAAGTGTTACATCTTTACCAAGTAATTGATGCGAATGAATAAACGAATGATTCAAAATTCCTGATCGAATTCATAGTTTCATTTATTACGATAGTCTTTAACTTTCCATATTTTTAATGTAGTTTTTTCCTTGTTGGAGTTCAATTAAATTTGTATTTGAAGATTTGACATCCTGTCAAATGTTAGTTATCTAGATTTCTCACTTAAAATTTTCTATTAATCTTGGAACTGGTGAAAAAGGGAAATTATTTTCATAACCTTCATCGAGTAAAATAGTGTGTTTCAAAAAAAAAAAAATAATAATAATATAAAAATATAAAAATTGAATAAACTTGCTTTAATTTTTTAAGTTTCCTTAGAATTTTCCACATTTTAATTGTTTCTTATTTATTTTGATATAAACAATTTACCGCATAAGTTGAAAAGAAAATGGAGTAAAATTCTTATAAGGCGAAATTTGTTATAAAACTTAAAGTAATAGAATATAAAGAGAAAAAAACAAAGAGAGCCAAAACTCGAGTTAATTTATTGAGCAATAATGATACTATTTTCATTTATAAATATTTAATTTATAACACTCATCCTTGAATCAATGATTACATAATAACAATTTCGCTAAGACTTTTTTTGAAAAAATATCAATGTGACAAAAATGCCAAATAAAAAAAAAAAAAAAAAAAAGAAAATCTCTCCACAAATTTTATTAAACGGGGTCATTTTATCATTAAAAATGATTGTAGGTGAAGTTGAGTATCTAAATTGACTCAAACTCTCGTCAATTTTATTTAGTGAACATTACATATCTAAGGTGTTTGAAAGATATAATTTCAAAATTAAGAAATTTGTTTTAAATATCAGGTCTTAATTACAATTTATAAATTAAATAGATAATTATAATATTCTATTAATTAAATATCTTAAGGACACAATATTATATAATTTATGGTACAGTTGTGTACTAATCTAACCACGAAATGTCACAATCACAAATTTCATATACCACAATTTATTTATCAATGATAAAATATCAAATTAATTGATCACGTATTTTTTATTACAAATCAAAAAATTTAAAGATCATAACTTATTTCTCAATCACAAATTATCAAATTAATTTGATAAATAATCAACATCACCGATCCCGACATAAAATTGTAAAAATTTGTCTGTCTATGTAAAAATAAGATTTAACGATTAAAAAAATTTACTAATTCAACGAAAACAAAATTAAAAATACGTAAATATACTTACTGATTCGAAGTGCTAGCTAGAAATAATATTTTTTTTTGCTGAGCATTCTATAAATTTATGAGATTTCAAGGTTGAAACAGGTGAAAAATGAAACAGTTTCTATCTGTGTTGGAGTAAATAAATAAAACGTGATTTGTTTTGAAATTTTAAGTGGGAAGTGTTTGGAATTCTTTGTAACTTAAAAGGGTATAATAGTCTTTTAAACAATACCATATTTTTGTAATTGTGTAATACCATGAGGGTAATTTTGTCTTTTACGCATTAAGATGCCATTGTGGTGAATGGCAAATGTTTTTTTTTGATCAAAGTGGAAAATGGTATTGTTGACAAAGCCTTTTTAAAAAGTACCCGTTTTGATTGGTGAACTTCTTCCTTCTTAGTTTTACTTGAAATCATCTCGATTTTTAGAGCCTAGTCAACATTGTTATGATATGAAAGTAAACAACTATAAATTTCTATGTTTCTAAGTATGCATTTCCATTCTTGTTTGTTTATTACTGTACTCGGGTTTGGGTTTAATTTATAAGTTGGGTTTGGGTTTCAGTAATGAGAAGAGAACCAGTGAGTAAAAAAAGGAAAATGCCCCGTGTATAGGGAAAATTTCACAGATGTTCTACAGGGCACTAATATGGAGTGGGTCACATGTGAATATTTTATTGGTGTGAGCCTCATTGCTGGGTGTATTTTGTAAAACATTTGTATGAAATTCTCTGTAAGTGTCGCACTGTTGGTAAAAAAAAGAAGAGAATCAAAATTTACCAATGAACTAGCATTACTTTCTAGGTAATCACCCAGTAGGATGCCAGATAAACCTCATTCAATAAAATATCAAATTTTGTATTTTGGTTCACAATAGTTTGCAAAATTTCATTTAAACTTTGACTCTCATTCAGTGTTCAAAATGGGACAAAAATAAAAAATTGGCAAAAGGCGAAATTCTGGTTAATGCAAAATTCCGAAGTATGATATGTGAGACAATGTTTTGTCCATATGAGCTCCGAAGGAAGCCATAGTAGCCTATCAAATCATAACTTTTATAGCTTGTGTAGTATCTCCCCTTTTAAGTTCTGGTCCGGAATAAAGATTAAGGCAAAACCAAGTCTAATCCATAAAATGATAGCAAATAAAGAGATCCATTAGCTTTGATTTTTTGGCATTTGAAGAATGCTTTTTAATTTGTAATTTGTAATTCCGGATCGATCAATATTATATTTAGGAAAAATTGCAGTAGCGGTAGGGTTGGGCAAATCTCCCGGATCGAACCGAACCCGACGGTTCTTGTCAAATTAAATACCCCAACGGGTATCTGAATTGAGATCCGATGAGTACGATTCGGTTCTCGGTTCTAGACCAAGAATGGAATAACCGAATTTTCCAATTTTTGTTTATTGAATAAACCAAATTATTTAAATTTTTCTAAACAAATTAACAATTTCTAAATCCAAATTTTTGGCCCAATAATTTGTTTCATTTCTAATTTTTTAATTTTTGACCCAGATACCCATTTTATCGTTTCATTTCTTAGCCCAACCCCAACATGATCCAACCCACTAAATAACCCTAAACACTTACATACACTACACGCATAACATCTGAAATCTGA